AGGCGGGAGGGATTGTCAGACTCTTACTGACTAAAAACCACCCCGTTCCTACTCCTACCCTTCGAGCCGGAGCCCCGGCAACCCGTTAAGTCCTCTGCAGCTCTGGTGCTACATGGTACGTTTACTACCGTAAGTTATTAATAGCAACATAAAACAAAAAATAATAGTGTGTCACCGGCTAATAAGCTTCTAAGGAGTACACCTGTTTTCCAAACCCCAGAAGGGAGTTGAATCAATACACAGAACCTGTGTTAAGAATAGATCATGAATGTAGAAGTAACATGAATATTGTATCGTCAGCTTACATCACATTCACTAGAATGATAGCAAACCTACACACATAAAGACATACATACATATTAGATAGCCTCAACCCCCTTAAGGACCATTACGTTGGCATTTACAGTAACAATCTAAACTAAATTGGTTGTCATCTATTAGTAATGTATTCTCGACTGTGTGACAGCATGACAGTGTGACAGTTGACAGCATAATAGACTGTACAATGCTCAACGTATGCCCGCTTAGACAGACGACAAGGACTGGTTAACATAATTTTCGTGATTGTTTAGGATTAAATCTAAAATAGGAATTGTTTTGTAGTGCATAATGCAAAATATTGTCTGTTAACTCCTATTTGACTAGTATTTAAAGCTATTTGTCTAAGAGGGCAGATCAATAATCTTAGCCAAGTCGATAAGTCGTTAACGCTATAGAAAATATAATAAATGTATGGAGATTTTTATTATTATCGTCACGTGGTTAACATAATGAAACCCTCCCAGGTTTGTTAAATGACTCCTGAATTCCTATGACGACAACTGTAAAATCAAACAACTAATAAAACTATTTCTTGCTTCTTGCATCTACCATTTATTTTTCTCTGCATCACCCTAAGGTCAGGCTCGGAGAAAATGCCTACGGCATTAAGGCCACTTATTGTACGGCAAGTGCATGAAGCATATCAAATAAAAAAATAAAGCAATGCATAATAAACATGACAAGAAATAATCAAGAAAGAGTAATAAAGAAACAATTTTTACATGAAATTCCTTCTCTGAAACCTGCATTCGCTAGAATCTCGCTTATTCCGTGGCAATAGCAAATCACGCAAAATAGTACTAATGCAACTAAAGAATTTAATCATAACATTTCAATAAGATTTATAGGAGAAAAACCAAAGTCTTCCCCTTTAACTCAAAGCAAGAAATACGAAGAAATATTTTCCATCTAACTTTGAAATGCAGACTTTTTTGCATTCACTCTGAGTAACGTAATTTCAAAGATTTCTCCAATGATTTTATAAATGGAAATTGATTTTATCAGAATGGGAATTCTGCGGCGCATTGCGGTAATATTTTTTTACAAAATGTGGGGGAAAAAGGAAAAGGAGTGTTTGCGTCTAATGAAATGCAAAGACTGCTCTGTTAATTAATTAAAAAATGCTCTCTGTTTACTTTGAGGAAATGTTGAAGGTGAATTTTACCGTGATGCTTGAGTATTTTGCTCGTGTTTCATAATATGTATAGCGGTGGAATATTATAAAATGGTAGTGGTATTGGTGATGTGGTTATCCCCATCACCAATCGATCATCAATATTTATTATCATAAGGATATAAATTAAAGTTAGGGGCTTCCTTAGTTCAATACATGATAAGGGTATTATTACATTATAGGTTTAATTTAAATGTGGGAGAGACATGCTTCGGCATGAATGGGCCGGCTTGACCGGACTGATACAACGGTATCACAGAAAACCGACGTGAAACAACGCTTGCGTTCTTTCGTGTGCATGTGGTTAACGGAGGCCCATTTATCCCCCTCCCCTCCGCAATCTACCCAATCTCTGATTCCCCAAAATCCAAAAGGCCGGTATTGCACTTGTAACGCCTCTGGTATTCCGGATGTCAATTTGCGACGCCGATTGCTTACCATCAGGTGATCCATCAACTCGTTTACCGGCTTATCCCATAAAAAGAGAAATTTTCAATTAAACAAGTATGGAAATAAATACACCCTAACTTCACACCTATTGAAATTACAAGCGTAAAACTACTTTAGGTAAATAATTACCGTAAATTACTGCCACTACGATACTAGTCAAAGTCAAAGCATTTATTTCAATTAAACCATAATTCGGTACTTTTGAAACGTCAACAAATACAAAATAAATAATAGTCCGTCAGTGAAGCTAGGTGAAGCTAGGTACTCATTCTAAAATGAAGATTCGAATGGAGAAGAACGAGCAAGAAACTCCACAGTCATAATATTAATCTAATAAATTATAAAGCCTTAGGGCTTCTTTCTGTATGACTAAACCACATCGATCAATACATATTTGGATAAAAAATTATACTTATTACGAATGATCGATGGCTGAAGGCGGGACATGTGGATGGATATTTATGGGACACATAAAAACAACACTTTGAATGATGGAAACGTATTTTATATGGGAAAATATGTTTAGCCGGTTTTATTAATTGTTTTAATGAAAATTGTGACTTAATTTTGGCATGGAAACAGTTGGTTTAATAATAATTTGGTAAAGAATGAGATGACATCTTTAGTAAGATTCTAAAAATATTCGTATTTTGCACTACGCTGTAAAAGATTTTTTATTTGTCATAGATTAACACATTGGATGCCGTGTCAGATAATGATGACCGACACTAGCAGAGGATTAGCCTTTAACAGTTTTTGTTGGCAGTTAAAGGCTTAAGTTAAATACTACAAGATAATTTACATGACACACAGATCTGGACCTCTATAGTAAGTATCCCTTTGAACTATCGATTACCCAACTATCAAAGCGTATTAATTCATACCTACCTATAAAATTCAAACCTCACTGTGTCCAAAAAACAACCAAACCATTTCATCGGAACATTTTCTTTCTCTTTCCACCATTTTCCGTTTTCCCCACGATTACAGGTAGCTGTGTATAAATCACGCAATTCCGTTACCGCCCACCTTCCTACTACCTTGATAAACCTTTCCTCGACCAATTTGTACAAAAGGAAACCGTTATATTTTTGTTTTTTTATTAATTGTGGGGAATGTGGGGTTATTTTTTGATAATTTGGTTTATTGTTATAGTTAAATTAGTGGGTAGAGGCGATTCTGTAGTTTTTCAAGTAATGAAAAGGTATAATCAGATGATACATTATTCCAATGCTGTCAATAAGTGTGTGAAGCATACGAATAGGGTAGACGACTAATTTTTATTTTAATGTCCGTCTGATAGATTATTTAAAAACATTAGACACGTATTTTTTATTTTCTCACAGAAACGAATAGTTTCGAAGATATATTGATTTGAAATGTCGCGTGACGTCACTTCTCAGTACATTTTATACTAAGAAATGACGTTTTAGCCCCCACTCCTAAACTTTGATTCGTTTTATCTAAGTATTGTTTTATTATACGACAAAATAAAAAAATACGTGTCTAATATTTTTTCATTACCTAACTTACGGACTAATTATATTTTTAATTTTCAAACCCTGTCATCATCCCCATTAAATAAATTAAATAACGTACATTTAATTAGGTACTATAATATTTTTGAACAGCTAACACATATTTTTTAAACAAAGAACAATTTGGTACTGTTACCTTGATTGTATCTACTAATTATGCAATTCATTTCATTACTTGTCACGTCAGGTCTCGCAATCGTGTTAATGTTGTCGCAGGTCTTGTTAATCAGGACTAGGTACACTAGTACACTCATGTACCTACAATAACTGAAAGAAACTGTGAACACCCTCAAAAACGCTTCGCATATGAAACCCAATTTCAAGCTTGTATTCACAAGGCCAATGAAGCAGTTCATATTAATATTGTGAAGGCAGGAAGGAAAACGGAGTTAGCGCACAAGTAATGGTGTTTGTTTATAACGGAACCCCATGAAGGTAAAAGTATAATATTTTGTTTGGTAATTTGCCTCGTGGAAGCTTAATTGCTTCCTCACTGATTACGGACCAAAGAAAATATCGTTTACTGAAATAAAAAGGTTAATATTGTACCAGTAAATGAGGGAGCTAACTGCCGTAACGTTAAACCGTGGATGGTTGAGAAGTTGGAAAAAGAAATAGACTTGAGTGGATGGAAAAAAAAACAAAGAAAAATGGGGTTTAAAGATCAATTATGTGCTAGATGAAATTAAGGACTGCCTCATTGGCCGAGTGGTCGCAAGTGCTACTGCCGGGCAAGGGGTCTCGGGTTCGATTCCCCGGTCGGGCAAAGTATTACTGGGTTTTTTAAAAATTTCAGTAGTAGCATGAAGTCTGGAAATGTACCCGGTATATGGCAATAGGCTCACCCCCTAGTACATGGGACTCATAACATAAATAGTGAAATGTGGGTGTTACTTCTGTGTGCACCTCTGCCTACCCCTTCGGGGATAAAAGGCGTGATGTTATGTTATGAAACTAAGGATCTTCATAAGAATATCATTTTCACACAACACGTAAATGTAGACAAAATAACTAAAAGTAAATGAGAACAAAGATTTTAGAAAAAGATCTTAAAATATTCTCCCATGTCGTAGGTGCATTTTGCAAATACTAACACGTACACATCATATCCAGGCCCGAACAAACTACAAATATTTGTTTCGTATCGAAATATACTACAAGATTGCAACCAAAATCTATAAGATTTCCACAAGTTTAAAACTAGAAACGTATCAGAAATAATATCCCAACTAATATTATAATAGCTTAAGTAAGTTTGGATATTAGTGACATCTTTACGCTTTTCCAAATCAACGAATCATCATCTTTTGCGCATAATAGTTGGGAGTATTAAACGACAAATTCAAATGGCCTAAAGCCGTAGCTAAGCTCAAAGTCAAGGTCAAGGCATTTATTTCAATTAAACCAAAGTTTGGTAAGTACTTTTGAAACGTCAACAAATACAAAATAAATAATAGTCTGTCAGTCAGTCCGTCAGTGAAACTAGGTGAAGCTAGGTACTCTGCAACTACATTTACCTGTGCAGCTGTCACAGTAATAGGCAATACATGTGGCTCCTCCATCCCACTTCTTGAACTCCTGCTGCCTCGATCTGAGCTCTCCTCTTCCGAGTCTGAGGCGTGGAACGACAGAGACCCTGGACTTGGATCGCTGAGTCTCAATTTGAGGCAGTCTCGACGCATTTTGAGTCGGTACAGTATTTTTTTAATTTAGCACTTTATTTGCAACATGTCTTTGGTTTTATCTTTGGGAATGTTTCGTTTTCTTTGGTAAAAGACTTTTTTAATTAAGTTTTAAATTGTTTCTTGTTCATCTTTTGTGCTGCGGAAGATTTATTATTGTTTTAATTTAATTTTTTATCACAATGCGTGGTGCAGAACGGTTTGGCGATCGCTTTAAACTAAAACTTACGAGTAAGGTGTTTCTTGTAATACGAAAATAGTTTTACAATAATTTTCGAGAGTTGTATAATTAATTGTTCCATTTGGAACACCTAAACAAAATAGTATAAACACATTTTCTGCTCCATTCACTAATGACCCGAAAACATGTAGGTGTCTATTATTATTTCCTTCATTCATATATCATGAAGTTCGTCAATACCCCGCCCGTGTGTCCCAACCTTAGACCCACGTAATGCGACACCTTGCCACGTAAGGACTCTGTTACGTCCTTCTATTGTCGCACTTGTATAACCGGCTTTATTGCGACTCTCATTCCTAGCACACGTTTCCTCTGCACGATTTTTCCTTCAACAAACAAAATACAATGCTTTGCTTTAAAAAATATTTGATTTATAAAACCAGAAAGATGAAGCGAATTTATTTCATATATTATTTTGTTACATATCTATGTTTTTATATTTACGTTTCGTGAACATTTGGTATTTGGAAACATTTAGTTTTGTCATGTTTACTTTGTGAAGTATTCCTGATATTTGGAGCATTTGTAACGTATAGAAACTGTTTGGTCTCGGAGTATAAACACCGATTTGCTAAGTACTATGCTGATTTCAGCCATTGTAATTTAAATTCTTGGATGCATTTAGTTAGTGCGTGTTTACAGTTCGATTATTCACGGCGCAATGTTTCGTCGTGACACATCTACCTCGTACTATGCAAAGTTTTGGAAACTACTAACAAGAATGAAGTATAAAGATAATTGGATAACAGCATAATAACATGCCATTTTCTAAAACACCCTCAATTTCTTTTCTCCAAATAATTTCTGCATACAAATCAACAAAACCCAAATACAAATTGAGTTTAATCAAAAACATGAAACACCTAACCGTTAATTTTACACCGCCATTAACCTGTTAGTAAAGGGGTCAAGGCTAAAACGCAGACCAGGTGCTGGTGGCTCAAATCAAAAACTTCATAACAAATCAAGTTTAACAATCCACAACAAAAAAGTCCAGATAACACTAGTTTACTTCAATAATATACTTCGACTTCAATTAAGGAGTCGTAAACACAGAAATTGAAATGTAAACTACTCCGATTGATTAGCAAATGTTTCTGCATATTCCTTTTGTATACAATGTTCGAATGAAATAAACCAGGATTGGTGAATGTCTAGAAATAATCAATTGTTTTGGTTTAGAGTACCTTTGGGAACTGGAGAGCTAGTTGACTCATTGCATTGTACGAGCACAGAGTACGTTTGTCACAATCCGTACTCTTCCCATAGGTGGTCTAACAACCGATTGAGGGACTACAGACTTAGCAGAGCCCGAACAGCAGCGCTTTGTGAAACATCTGATCCTCTTCAACAACAAAAGTCAAAGTTAAAGTCAAAATCATTCATTTCAAGGACTTACTTTTGAACGTCAAAACAAAATATTTAAATATGGCACTACCCAAAGCACTACCCACAGGATGACTGGCAGAGAATGCTGTTAGCATTAAGTCTTCCTTATGCAATTGTATAAAACTTAAATAAATAAAATAAATATTTTAAAAATGTTAGTCTGTCGGTCAGTTCTCCAATGAAGCTATTTGCTCGTTCCAAAGTATAAATTCCTATGGAGAAGGACGAGCAAGAAACTCCTTTTCAATCAGGTACCTCATGCGTGCCTATCAACCACGGAACGAGGGTTCATACTCTAGCAGTCACTCTCATGGACTATGAATGCTGATGACTGTAAGACTTAGAAATAACATGTCCTTAATCAGGAGAAACTGGACTCTAAATGATGTGTCATTAAAATTGAATATCAGATTTTATATTGAGTGATTGATCTCTGACCTGATCAATTTGTGCAAATTGATACAAAACTCTTGGTAAGGCTCATTGTCAGACTTTGCAAGCTACTGATTGCATGTAATTACTTACGAACATTATTACAAGATAAGTGCTGTTTGAATCATGACAAAATATCAAACTCAGTAAGAGTTTTCTAGTAAGAGAGTCCTAAAGCCGATCCACAAACAGACCCATTGCGAAAAACATCCTAGCCTAGTTATAGCCTCATTTGATAATAAAATCAATGCAGTTTAACATTAAGTTCAAAATAGAACATAACTTCGTAGCAACAAAGTTTAATCTTAAATATCATTAACTCAGAAACTACGAACAAATTTCCCACTCGCAATTTGCTAAGGACTGGTGGCTCGTCCTCGTCGTGGCTTCTATTTTTCTTGTCATTTGCAAATTGAACCACTTTTTACCCTGGTACAAGTTAATCTAAGTTGGAAGTGCAATTTCCAAGCACTTTCCGCTATCATGAACATAAAATTAGTTTAGAAGTAGATGCTACGTCACCAGATATTAAAATCTATTCGCTGGAAAATGCTTTGCAAAATATTTGATGCTTACACGTTGAAATTGCATGCAGTGTGTGGTAATAAAGAAATAGTTTGTTGTTTGTTTTGGTTCACACAGATGAGAATGTTTCTAGAAAATATTTGTCCTATATTTTTATAAAAATTATTAAACTGAAACATAATATTATTTTAACCACCATTATTGGAATAACGGTTATTATTACAAATCCAGTCACCCTTTAATAACTTTAGATAACTAATGAAAACGGCTCGACCGGAGGGATACCATGACGTTCACAGAAAACCGACGTGAAACAACGCTTGCGTTATGTTTCATCGTGTGAGTGAAGATACCGGAGGCCCAATTACCCCCAATATCAGCAAATTCCCGAATCCCCAACAAATTTTAGATGAGTGATCCCCAAAAAGCCGGTATCGCACTTGTAACGCCTTTGGTGTTTCAGGTCTTGACGAGTGGCACCAATTGCTTACTATCAAGTGATCCATCTGCTCGTTTATCGGCTTACCCCATAAAAAGAACTGAAACGATAATAATACACAAACCTCTCTATTTCTAGTCTCACTCTACCCCTTATAAAACTAAACAAACAAACAAAACAAAGGACCATAATGAAATAATTGGATGAAATGTACACAATAATACACCATTCTGAACAACGCAATCCGCTTTCCGACTATTGATATTGGAAAATCTACAGGCAATCAGCAAAGTCCATTATAAAACGAAGGATTAAAGGCAGACATGTGATTCCTTTTATTGCCGGATCAAATGAGGGAATATAATAGGAACATTGGAATTCTTTGTTTGTGGTGAGATAGAAAAGTGCAAGGTACTTGATAATTAGGTATAATATGAGCTTTATCGAGTTGAGTTAGAGTTTTTAGTTTGTTACTTCTGTAGGTACTCAAATAACTAAATGTTTCTTTACACATTTTCATACAAAGATAGATAGCATCTTGAACTAAATCGCACAAACTGGGGAAGAGCCTTTTACATATTATAAGCAAGAGAAACTAATTAGTGAAACAAGTTTCGGGTAGGTACTGATCTGATATTAGGTAATACTGACAACTATGAAGACCATCATATTGGTTACACAAGATCGTAAACGTTATGACGAATATCGTACCACCCCTAGCAGACTGAAGACGGCAGATGGCACTCACTTCAAATGAAATATCATTTACTGTTGACATCCAGCCGAATCTGGTTAAGACTTATGCCACCAACATAGTTGGAAAAAGGCCAAAAACTAGAAGATAATTATCAACAACAATCCTACTAAGTAGGGGGAAATGCATCAAGAAATTATTTCGTTTCTGCTGTCCATTCCATTTTGGCATCCATTGCATTGTAAATATTAATGGACGTTTTATATGAAGATTTATTACTTTTGCACTAAATACTGTCAGTAGTTATAAATTATATTGAATGTTCTCTTGTGTAGGGAAAAACCGAGAATCCATATGGTACGAAAATTCCGGACAAATTGCATAACAACCTGATATAATTTCAATGTAAAGTAATAACATTTTGAAGAAAACAATAGTGATTCAACACAGTAATAACAGCTGCGAGTAATCGTAGCAAGATAATGGACTGGATCTTAAGCTGATGTAAACGCTATTTCTTTTTATTTTTCTTTTAAGTTAAAGACTACCCGACAAGACAGGTACACTTTGAAGTCTTCCATCAATACGAAATATAAGTGCTAGTTTTGTCATACAAGGTGATTCAAATCATGCTTTTGATCACCAATTTGCTAAAAGCCACAATAAAAAAAAACCACTGCTTCTCGGCAAACCAGCAAAAATCTCAAAGACAAAAACCGATCTTTTAATCTCAATAAAACACAAATAAATGATGACTGAACTTGTGAGACAGCTAATTAAAATTTTGGAATGCAGAATGTAAATACTAGTATCAGAATTGAGGAAGCTGAAACTATAAAACCCACCAGAAAAGATACTTTAGCGTGGCATAACAATGATGCTACAAGGACTTTCTAAATATAATGGTGTATCGTAAAATTATACGGTGTACTGTGTTATTGGGTTGAAACACACTCATCAAGTGGTCTTGGTGAATTACTAAGCAATATATCACGGACTAGATTAGATTTGGACCAGGTGGATGGGGACGCCAATGCGAAAGTAATGGCTGCATTACAGTTTACCTTGAAGAAAAGATTTGTGGTAAATTTAACTGTAGCTCTATAGGATTGCAAGTGCAGCGAAGCAGATGGTTGGAAAATTAGGCAAATTGCAATTGCTGAAATCAAAATGATGTATGTTATATAAGGCTTTTTGGAATTCGACAAAACTATCACAATTTTTCTATTAGGTACACAATGTGACAACTGTCAGATCTTCCATGATACTCAAAGGAAAAATAGTCAACAAAAGGAAACATTGGTACCACAGAAGGACTGTCAACCCTGCTTAGAAAAGGATTCCAACTTAGAAGTCAGTTTCAAATTCAGCGACACACATTGACAGCTTGTCATCCAAGATAAGATGGGCTCCTATTTTCAATTTCCTTTGCCGTCCGCCCCGATCTTCACATCATTTTGACTACTAAAGATGAACATGCAAAACTCTTCGGAGTTTCGTCTCACGGATTATAATTTAATGTAGCTACTCAGCTCATAATGAAATACAAATCTTTAATTCATTTATTCGCAGCGCTCATTTTAATCTTAGAATGTTTTAATTCGCTTAGGAATCAATTGAATAATGAAGTAAGGCTACTGAGTGTGATTCTTCTAATGTTATTGTTTAGCAGAATTGAGTATCAATTTCTCATATTTGTGTATAATTATATTGAAATTTGAATTCTTTTTCTAAAGGCATTAAGGCTAATGACCCATAAGCCTTTGAATATGTAGCATGTAGACTATTTGTTGTATAAACGCGTTCAGAATCGGATTATGAGGATAACCTTCGCAAGCACGGGGCTTCCTATCAACAAGGGCCCAAACATTTTCCTAAAGGATTCATCTATATTTAAAAGAGTTCCCTGTTGAAAAGGTACTGAATACTTTATACGGATTCCTGTTTTGAATTTCAGAGTAAAAATGATGCTGGAATTGAAGAAAATTGGTAGCATTGTATAGGTAGCGTTTAGATTGAAATTTTCAATAAATCATAACTGTTTGAGGTATTACTCACGTAAAGATTGATTACAAATGTTGCGAAGACAGCTTCAATCATCTTTAACCCCAATTTTTATTACAGCGAAATTTTTCTCCGTATTTCAATCTACGACTTTGTAAAACCTATGTTTTTGCAATTTTGTTAATTTTGCCAACGCAGACATTTTGGAAAATCAACCTTATACCAATTACGACAAGATTTATATGTAATTATTGTGATGTTTCCAGAATAACATTGCTTGTAACCTTTGACATTTTATCATTGGACGAGGGTAGTATTTAGTTAATAGCAGCCTACGGGTCTACTCTCTCTTTCTGTTGATGGAAACCAAATAAAAGTTCGTATGGACCAAAATGCCGCCGGCTATGTACCTAAAGACCCAATCGTTTATTTCGAACCTGCAAAGGTTCATGATTTTCCTTTATTTCTGTTCAAACGGGTTCCTCTAGGTAGACCAAATTGCTATTAATGACTCACTTATCTGATAAAGGTCAATTTATAGAAAACCTATAATAACAATATGCGTCTGATAAAAATTCAAGGCTAGTCTGGATTCGATTGTGAATAGTACCTATGAGTAAATTTCAACAGATTTCACAGAAGCCTTTGAACAGATGTAGCATGTCCCGCTAATGAATATATTTAGAGCATTGTAATCATAATATTATTTCAATGTGGGTCAATAAATTCTATACATAGGATTCCCGGTAAATTTTCAGCAAAACAATTCGAAAATGGTACATAAATTCCAGCCTATTACATTATCAGTACCGTTACCACGATAACACTGTTTACGATATATTATTGTCGCTCATGATTCCACATTTAAAATTTTCCTTATATTCCAGAGTAAGAGCAAACAACATTTAAAAATACTACCATCATACATATGTAAATTCAATAATGTTTACATCAAATGCGTCGGAGGAAAACGTATTTCGCATCAAATTAGGTTTATTTATTCATCCTGACAACCAATTATGGGAAAATTCCTCGGGAAACGTATAGGAACGCATTACGCACTTGTCCGATGTAGCGAAATAATCGTCTATTCGGTGAAAATACACCCAATATTTAGTACGCGACCGCCATGCCGATCTGCACCGTAAAACGCTTATAAACACTATTTTTGTATCGTTATTTTGTAAACGTAATCGATTACGAACGTAACACAGATAATAATCACCGATCGTTTTGATCACTCGAGATTTTTTATTCAGAATATCGATATTTTACCGTTGCGTTTTATATTTTTAATATATTTTTTTCGGATGGCTAGAGAAAAAAGCGCGGGCTTGTATTTGGGAGCGCGTAACGACGCCCACCGTCGACAGTGGCGCCGCGCGCGGCACTGGCTGGAAATCAACTGGCTTCGGGCAACAGGAACGTTCCATTTCACCAGCAAAATTACGAATACGTTGTCGTTGAGCCTTAGTGGCATTGTTTTAGAGTTTAGAATTGTTTATTTTGTTGTTGAATAGTAATATTATGTGTGTCTATATAGGCATCAGGATGTCCCTTTTGTTCAAAGCGTTCTTGTTCCGCTCATTTGAGTAGATTCCGTTTTATTTGGGCAGTATATAATCGTTACATTAATTTCTGTCTCCATTGTCTCGAACTGTTTGTAATATATGTAATTTTGATCTCCTTATGAATTGTATACAAGTTCCTATTAATAAACACAGTTGGAATATCTGTTTATTCTATATGAAATAGTTTGTTTTGTATATCGAAGATTGTTTTCCGTAAATACAGAGGTGAATGGAATTTTGAATGCTGAAAGATTTGAAAGGAAAATTGTTTTTGTATTATAATTGAATTGCATTGTTATAATCGTGTCGATATTTTTCAATTGTAAATTATAAATGTTTGCTCTAAAAACACATTAAACTATACTTCTAAGAATACAAATAAATAGCTAACGTTTTGATACATTATATTTAAATTAAGTACTTTCTTAACTGTATGAGATTAATGATACAAGTAGGATTATTTCAACCAAAAATTATAAAGATTTAATTATGCAATTGATTAAATTTTTAGTTCAGTTTTAATATGTTTTAGTCTAATTTATAATCAGTAAAAACATTGTATGTAACATTTCAAAAAAATAATTAGGTAATTCATTTTGTAAGCCAGAATATTCGAACGTTGCATTCTAAAATTCAAACATTTAAAAATAATAAGCAACATTTTCTTACAAGCCAGTCTTAATACGAGTGAGTGCTTTCAAAGACCTCTCGCTCTAACACCTTTGTTGCGGCAAGGGGAGCAAAACCGCTTAATTATATAATTAGAGCATTAATTAAGTAATACTAAGAGGAAAGAATTAATATCATTAGAGAAGCTGTAAAGTACATAATAATATTATCCCTAATTCTTATTTTCTAAAAAGGAATAGCTAGATTGGAACTTGGTTATCTATGGTATGTTTATTTTTTTATTTGTATCAGGCAACAGGTACAGTATCAAAGTTCCAGTATTAAAAAACTACATTATTGCTTACAAGTGTTTAGATTTTCAGTTATTTTTGGAAAATCACAAAACAATTTAAACTAGTTTTGTTATGAGTCATATATTTTTAATAATGGAAGGGATATAGGTATAATTGTATACTGTGTGATATTGGTGGGTTTTACTTCGAAAAGCTGAATCTTGTTATAATTGTTTCCTGACCCGGGAATCGGTCTACCACCTCTTACTCAACAGTCGCTCTTGAACCACGAATAGTTTGTTTCTAATTATAAAGGGTAATTTTATTATAAAATTATTACTATTTACTTTTCAAAAAGCTTACCTACACGACGTTTCATAGAATCAATGAATCACTACAAAGACTAATAACATCAATAAACCGTTATTACGACTTTTAATAACAGTTACTAATGTAATAAATAACAGTTATTATTATTTGTATGACCACCCACAGGTGGTTATGATCTTAATGGTCGGCGTTAAAAAGAAAATGGCGTCCGTACCAAAACAATAATATTTTTCGTCCTACATTTTTTGTTTTTAATAGCACTTGTTTCATGTTTTGGCCTCGTCATCATCGATAGTCTGTGTTAGACCAATGTTGAACTGTAGATCTCCTCAACATAACAAGGAGTTTGCTATAATCTCCACATTTGTGCAAGCGTATTGGAGTTGGAGATCGCAGTCAAAAGCTTCAGGTTTTACAGAAATCACTGCAGCCTACATATATAATAATACTATTTAAAAACTATACTAACACCAACTATAAAAAAAAACAAAAAAAAAATACCTCCCATAGGACACAATTCCATATTCAAAAATATTTACTAAACATTAACCCTACAACTGCCGACTGCCGGCACAAAAGACCAAGCTACATTATTATTTGGTTTATTTATAACCGACCCACTTCGTTCACCCACCTGTCATATCGTATTATTAATCTATCGATGTCTGCGACGAATATTCATTATAAAATGTACATTCTATTTACAGTCTATTTGACGCTAATGTGTTTGGAATATTTTGAAAGGAATTCATTAAAGGTAAATATATCTTTGTGGGTACAATGTATTGTGTAATAAACAGCTTTTATATTTGAATTTGCGTAATTCAAAGCGTATTATGGTTACGGATTGGATATGGTATTGATTGTATGTTCTTTGTGGAAAATTTCTTCAAGAAGTTATCAGATTTTTTACTGTATTCCTTTTGTATTATTAGGCAATTTCTATTTCCAACCAAAAGGTAGAGAAAAAGTATTTTAAGTACTTAGCTTGACTCCAGATATTTGGACTAATGTTTTGTCATAATTATGTAATTACTAAAAACTCTGATGATGATGAATACATAGAATCACTCTTTTTGAGTAAGTCTGTACCAATATTACATCACCACTTAATAAAAAGCGAGTCATCTTCAAACACAATACAATTTCAACACACTACCACCATTGAAAAATTACGAAAAACTTACAGCGAATAATACAAAAACCCTTTTTAAAATAGAACCTAGGGTCTCGTAACAACAAGGCAAATTACGTAACATCACGTTCAAAACACGACGGTCGTCTCCAAACCCCTTTACAACGATTCAAAAGAAAAAAAATAAAATAGTGATACTATTTCAGTACTTATTTTGCAATTCTAATTTTACCCGAGAAACCTTATATACAATTTTAGTCCCCTAAGCTGTTAAGGGTTCTTGTTAAGCAACCCTGTTCTGTTGAAACCGTTGTCATTTCATATGAATTAATTTTTTTAGATATTGATGAAATACTTCTGACATTACTTGTCGTATCTATGCCGTGACTGCTTTTTAGTTAAGTAATACGTTGAATTAGTACTCATACACGATGTATTTAGTAGCTGGATTCTGTACTTAGGATACGCAATGAAAAACGCGATTAGTAGACTTTTACTGACTGCCTCATTGTGACTGCTGGGCAAGGCGTCTCGGGTTCGATTCCCAAGTCGGGCAAAGTATGACTGGGTTTTTCAAAAAAATTCTCAGTAGTAGCACGGAGTCTGGAATTGTGACCGGTATATAGCAATAGGCTCACACCCTATAACATGAGACTCATAACATAAATAGTGAAAAGTGGATGTTACATTGTACAGTGGCATTATGTACACCTCTGCCTTCGAAGATAAAAGGCGTGATGTTATGTTATGTTAGACTTTTACTTTTTTATTTTTTCAGCAACTTTAATGTGTTTATAACAATGTGTAGACAGGCAAGAAGTTCTTAATAGATTTTATTTTTCTACATGAGTGTTATAATATGAAGCAAACATTAAATGTATCTGTAATTTACCCATTCTTCTCAGTGTATGTGCAAACTATAAAATTGTATAAAAATAAATAAAACCTAATTTAAAAAGATTCAGTTAAACAAATTTATTCAAAGAAATAATTATTGACTTTACCTTGTAATTAATATTTAAAATGGCTCTTCCTTTGGTCAGGCCTGCGTTGAATTTTAAATGAATTAATTAAAAGTAGGGACTTTTCATTACTTATACATCTTTCAATTTATTCGAACCTTTGAGATACATGGAATTTATTACCCTTTATAATAATTAACAGACAAATTCTTCTTTTGATTTCACATGAAGTGTTAATTAAGAAGATTTTGATTGAACCAAATTTTTTAGGCAGTGAAAGCTAAATACTTAAGTACTTGTTAATATTTACTTAGTATTCAAGCAATATTTAAACCTAAATTCATAATAAATTTGATCAATTTGTTTAAACTATTATTATGTCCAAGACCCATTGCCCAGTACTCGCACAATGGTCCATACAAACGATCACTATATTAATTCGGCAGCCATGTTTTACTAAAAAATGAGGAAGAAGAGCAGTTTAGTCAATGTTATTTATATTTAACGACAAAGATCTTTATAACATTGTCATAATAAGAACTTCAGACGATACAAAATGAAGTGTTAAATACGATTTAATAAACCGATGAAAACCCTCATTAAAAAATTCAAGGCGAACATAAATCTAAATAAAATATCTTCACATAATAAACTAACTGTGAGTTGTGAGTTTCTCATGCCTTATAATTTATAACGTCCACAAACTTAGTTACCTTGAAACCCCTTCACACTCAGACGTTAATGTCAAAAAGTTTTGACAGATACAAATCGTCAAAGTAATTAATAATAAAGTGAAAATATACCCCGGGTCGCTTCATCATAACTCGAGAATTTGGCGCAGCGGCAAAAGGGTTAAGTGAGATTCAATTATTGTGCGAAAGAAAAGGGTTCGTAGTTATAGTGAAATAATGAAAAGAAATAGTTTTAGTCGGTTTTAGTGTGGGGGAAAGAATTTACCGGTGCATGTAAAGGCTCGTTGTAGAATTTTAGTACATGTTTGAGATCAGAATTTATTTTGTTTATTTTTTGTTTGTTTTGGATTTGTCAGTCGTATTGTATAAGTAGCATTTATATATCAATTAGGGTGAACTCATCTAACTTCGTGACAAAGGCCTTTGAGTAATAAAATACCAATAAATTATTAATTAATTTAATTCAGTCTCCGCATGAGTTTTAATCAGTCTTTTATGAGGAATATTAGCACAAATAATCAGATTTTTCTAGAAACCTAAGAGTTCTGCCAAATTTACTAAACCGAATTATTAGGCGAGTCACAGGATTAGATGAGTTCACTATAAATGATGATCGAGGAACCCATGATCCAGTCTGTCTTTTTTATGAAACAAAAATTTCATCATGGTTTCCGAAACATATTAAAAATGTATGTAAAATGTATTCAATTTTGTGAGAAAAGAAACAATACGTGTCTAAAGTTTTAAATTAATGTACCAGACGGACATTAAAATTAAATTTAGGAAACTACCCTATTTAATAGCATTGCTTTACATTTCTAAGCAATTTCAGCAATTAACAAAAAAGAAGTAAACAGATACGAACGGATATGAATGGGGCCATCGCTAGAGTGCGCCTTAGACGGACATATACTGACCAGATTGGCGATATATATTAAAAAAGGCCAAATTTGAAATAACCTTAACCGACGAGCATGCATGAAAAGACTACCTATTGATGAAGTGAAAGAGGTATGTAAGAATCGTAGCTATTGGCGTTCTATAGTCTCTGCCTACCCCCATGGGAGACATATAATGTGTAGACGAGAAGTTATGTATGTAGTATTCATCAATTACATAGTAACAACTAACATAGTAAATCTGTTCCTGCTTCTAAATCAAACACAACTTCCTTATTTCTAAGCGTCAAAAGACCATACAATTTGCAAGTTAAATAGTACATAAGGACCACTGCACATCAAGGCGTTATGTAG